GGGGAGGGTCTCGCCCATCCTCCATGCCCCCGCCCAGCCCCTCCTGCCGCCACCGCTGCTCCCATGCGCTGATAGCGCTGGCCCCACTCACACCCATTGACGGCGTGGAGTGATTGGGGCTGGCGCCAGCAGCGGGTGTGAGCAGCAGCTGCTGCCCTGATCGCCCCCAGCAGCAAGGAGAGGTGGAGAAGCCCTCAGGGGTGATCAGGGCCAGCAGCCACCGCTCGCACCCGCTGATGGCGCCTAGTGATCGGGACCAGCACCGGGCACTGGCAGTGGGTGCGAGCGGCAGCTCTGACGCCAGCAGCAGGTGTGAGCAGAGCTGGCACCGGCAGCGGGTGCGAGTGCGAGTGCCAGGCGGGACCGTGGTGCGTAGGAGCAAAGAGTTTTCAGTAACCACCAGAGGCTCGCCCTGATGACAGCAACTGGTGCCCTGCCTTGGTCTGGTGCCCCCGCTCACCTGCTCTACCATCCCGCCGTGGCCAACACCCGCCATGTTCCACACACGCCCCCTCGTGGTCAGCACATATCATAGCAATTGATTGTTCCGGTTGTTCTGCCATCCGGTCTATTTGCATATTAGCCTTTTATTATATAGAATAAAACCCCAGTACAACATCACTATATACCCAGCAGAATAGCTCCACTGAAAAAGGCTAAGAACAGCAGGTGTTGGGCCATGGAACAGGTGGAACTCTCACACTGTGCCTCCTGGCCATTTGGCTGCGGGCGAGCTCCTAAATGTCCCTCAGTTGCCGACCAGCCTGTGCAGTGGTGGTTACAATTTTTATGTCCCCAGGTTACTATGAGTATGAGGGTCACATGAAGCCCTTCACATAGAATCAGGTTTGTAGGCCATGCACCACATGTGGGAGCTCCTAGAATCTTCTTTGCAGGACTAACTACCCTGCTCTTTCCTCTGGTTTTGTCTGTAAGGACCTCCTCGTAGTTACTAGAATTTTTTTCATAGATTAGTTAACGAAGGATATGATGGAAACAATAATAGTACCATATGTAGAAACTGCCATTTTATGTATCTGTCTTTTTACTTGTTTATTCCTCCTAATAACACCATAATAGGTAGGTACTAAAACATTATGGTTCAATTGCTGCTCCCTTTTTATGGTTGATAAAACTGAGGTGAACTAACTTGTTCAAGATTACCCAGCTAAGCCCAGACTTTCCACTTCCTGCTCTGGCTTCTCTGGATGGCTCCATAACTCGTCCCATGAAGTCCTCTTTTCATGAATGGATCCAGCATGAACTCTCCTTCCTAAGTTCTGAGAATATTCCATGTATAATTTAGTAATAATGTTGATTAGGGCCCCAATCATGACGACCGCAACATAATAATAATAGTAGCAGCTAATTCTGCATCTGTTGAGTGCTTACTGTGTGCCAGATGCCAAGCTTGGCTCTTTCTATGTGTTATCATGTCCAATCCCTGGAACAGCTCAGCAAGGAGGCCTTGACTGTTACTGGTGCCTTATGGAGGCTGACTCTGACCTCCATAGTTAGGAAGTGTCAAAGTCAGGGGTCAAGCCCAAGTCTGTCTGTTACACTCCCAAAGCCTGAGCTCTTCACTGCCTCTCTGTGCTGCCACTTGCTGTGTTTGGCTTTGGACCTTTGGCTATGTTCAGTCTTTATATGCTCTGATGTAACATGTTCATGAAGACGGTCCCCTACCTTCCCGCCATTCAGAATTTATTGAGTACCTGCTGTGAACCAGGCATTTTGGAGTCACCAGGATCAATAAGATGATGTTTCTGATCTTGAGGAACTCATGTCTAGAAAGGGAGGCAGATCATTGCAAATGAGGGTGGTCTGTGCAGCAGCAAATACCTATGGGTACAGAGGCGCCAGAGAGGAGGGACTAATCAAATCCCCCAGGGCAGGAGGGTGGGAAGGTGCTTTAAAGAAGGCTTTACCAAGAGGTGCCTGAGGTAGGTTTTTAAATAGTAGTAAGAGTTTAGTGATTGGTTAGGGCAACAAGGGCATTCCAGGCACAGTGAATAGAAGTCAGAGCTGGTCCTAAAGATTTTACTCTCTAATCCTTAATGGATGTCATCCTCTACACACAAGGAAACACCAGAGTGGGAGAATCTGCCTCTCCCCTGGCACCAATAGTGCCTGTCATGGCGGGGAGTGGGTATGCTGTGGGCTGCATGGAAAGTGTCATTGATGGCCATCGTGTGAGTGATGCAGTGACCCTGAAACTTTAGTGTAAACTCATTCAAAATGCAGATTTGGGACCCTGCACTTAGGAGTCTGTGGGTTGCTCTGAAAGAAACGGGTGTGCCTTAGCATTTGATTGTCCTGATGTGTAACCGGTATTGTGGGCAGGAAGCCATTGTCAGGACAGAGTAGAGAGAGAGAGAATGGTTTCCTATAGGCAAAAGTGACAGATTGGGTGAATTTTATCTCCCTGTTTAATCTGTACATAGAACATAACATACTAAAAACTGGGCTAGACTCAGAGGAATGAGGAATGAAAATTGGTGGAAGAATTACAATAACTTAAGATATGCAGATGACACCATCTTACAGCAGAAAGTAGCAATGGTTTGAATGACTTCTGATGAAAGTGAGAAGAAAGTGCCAAAGCAGGACTTGCATTTGAACATCAAGAAGACAAAACTCATGACAACAGAAGGAATACACAACTTTAACATAGTGAAGTTATTGAAATTGTTAAAGATTTTGCTTACTTTGTTCAAATATCAATTAAAATGGGGACTGTAGCCAAGAACTCAAGAAGGCCGAGACTCAGAAGGGCAGCAATGGAAGAATTAGGAAGGATCACCACAAAGATATGTCATTAGAGACCAAGGTTAACATCCACACCCTCATATTCTCAATTACTATGTACCAATGTGAAAGTTGGACAGTGAAGAAGGCTGATAGGAAAATGACTGATTGGAAATATGGTGGTGAGAGCTCTACAGATACCCTGGACCTCCAGAAAGATGAACAAGTGGATCCTAGAGCACATTAAGCCTGAAACATTGCTGGAGGCAAAAAATGACAAAAATGGAGCTCTTCTACTGCAGGGACATCATGAGAAAGCAGGGTTCTTTGGAAAAGACATTAATTCTGGGAAAAATAGAAGGCAGCAGGAAAAGAGAAAGACTAAAGAGACAGACTGACTCCATAAAAGAAGCCGTAGGCATGAGTCTGTAGTTGCTGAGCAGGGCTGTTGAGGACAGGACATTGTGAACATCACTTATTCATAGGGTTACCAGGACTCAGAGCTGACTCACCGTCATATAACACACCCAGGAGTCAGTTCTGTGGATCTGGGATGGGGAGCTAGAATCTGCAACTTAGGTGATTCTGATGCAGGAGGCCTGTGAACCACAATGTGAAACTCTGCTCTTTGACTTGGACAAGATGAGTCAAGGCGGCATGAAGATAGAGATTCACGAGTGCCCTGGTGATTCATCCCAGGCTGAAACAGTGCCGTGGAGTTACCTTATCCCTGAGGAAAACTAGCTTCTGCTCCCGTCTGTAGCCCTGCCTATAGATTTGGACACAGGTGTTGGAGATTTCTGTTTTCCGGGGGCTATTCTGGTTACTGCATAACAGTGGTTCTCAACCTTGGCTGCACATTAGAATCACCTGGGAATCTTTTTAAAATCCTGATTTCTGGGCCTCATCCTCCGGAAATTCTGTTTCTTTGTTACTAATGTTGTGGCCCCACCCCATAACAAAGAAACAGAATTTCCGGAGGATGAGGCCCAGAAATCAGGATTTTAAAAAGATTCCCAGGTGATTCTAATGTGCAGCCAAGGTTGAGAACCACTGGCATAGAAGTTGCATGTGATTTTAAATTAAAACCAGCCCCTTAAGTAGTAGATTGCTCCTTATTGTTCCCTCTGAAACATTCTATCTTTTATATCTTACACATTTTGAGATTTTTTTTTTGATGGGACGATCCTATTTAATCTTTTCCTGTCTTGCTCTCACTAGCCCCCCACCCCCAACTGAAGGGGGCCATAAAAGAAACCAAGAGGTGACTCTTGGTATTCCCTTCGCCTTCCCAAGTCTGAGGCTCCCATAACAGCTCAAGTTACCTCAGTCTGTGGGCCCTAACGATGCCATCTCTTAAAAGTTGTGTCACGTGCCACTCCCAGGGCATCTGACCAGGCTTCTGGGTCCAACACTGCTCAGCTCAGGCCTCAGTGATTCAGTTGCCCTCACCACCAGCAGAGGGCTTCCAGGATGGGCCTCGGCCTTCCTGTCTCTGCCCTAGCAGCTGGCATAGGTCTGGAGCAGCGTGGGCCTTCCAGGACCATTTAGGACCATTTGGGTGGGTGAAATATAGTGCCATAGTCTCAAGCCCACTTGAGTTTGTGAATTCCAACAGTCTGCACTCAGCACATAAGATCAGTGTCCTGCGAGCAACCCACTTTATGTGAGCCTTCAGTTCTGATGGGGGATCTGAGCTTTAAGGGAATTGTGAGCAATCCAAGGGTAATCTTGTGATTGCACATGATTTTGACCCAGGCGCTGGCTTTGGGACCACCCTCCCTAAGCCATGACACCACCTCATGCAGGTCTTATGTTAAGCATTCAGACCTGAGCCATGTGTCTCGACTTGCTCCACTAGCATCACAATGACCTGGGGAGTGTGTGAAAAAGGCCAATGTCTGGTCTTCCCTTGGTCCCCCTGAATCGGAATCTCCGGGTGGGCTTCCATACCCCCATTTTATCCAGTTCTCCAGGTGATTATCTTTCACACTCAAGTTTGAGGATGGCTGTCTTCAAGGACTTGACCATTCTCTTACCTCAGTTGGGGTTGGTGTGTCCCTGGTTACATAATGCTTCGAAGAAGTGTCTGCCATTTTTCCTGAATGGTAAGTTCTGTCTCATCCGAATGGCAATTGTGCTAACTGGATGTGAAAAAGCACAGCCATATTGTCCCCCAGATGTTACTAATGGTCATTGAGCCTGGCTTTCATTTCAGTTGGTAATCTTTACTATTCTTTCCTTTCTCTCAGGTATCTGTACCACGTTTTGACCAAAAACACCACAGTCACAGAACAGAACCGGAACCTGCTAGTGGAGACCATCCGTTCCATCACCGAGATCCTGATTTGGGGAGATCAGAATGACAGCTCTGTGTTCGAGTAAGGGTTTCTAATGTTTTTAAATTTTTTTTCGTCTTCCTTTGAATATGTTTCTAAATGCACATCATGAGTCATTCTGATGATGTCAGAATTTGAAGCCAGTTTGGTCTTGCACGGATATCTATCCCTCTATCTATATAAAATGTCCTGAAACACCACAGCTGAAAATGGGAAGTATGAAAATGAGTCTCTAGAAAATTTGAAAATATGGGTAATTTTTCCAGTAGTGTCTGATGATCACCCCCGAGGAAGGAGACAATGTCCTGGGTAGTTAGACTCTAAATGAACTGGGGTAGACAATAAGGGCAAACATTTATTATGTTTACTGATGGGCCAGGCACAGTGCTGAGCTCTTGATGAGTTAATCCCCCTACGTCTCCCAGTGACTCCAGGGTAATGGCCTTGTCCTATTTATGTGTATGGTCACACAGCTGGTAAGCATTGAAGCAGTGCCTTGTACCAGAGCCCATGGTGCTCTCATACTTTCTAGATGAGCAACCTTAGGCCAGCCTCAGTTTCCTCATCTTTAAAGGAGAGAGAGTTCCCTGTCTAGTGCCTGGTATAGTCTAGGCAGTAAGAAATGTTAGCAGTTAGTAATAAAATAAAATAAAGGTGTCCCTATTAGATGGTTAAAAAGCAAACACTCATTTGTAGAATATAATGAACAACATAAACTGATGAACAAAAATAGATACAGAGACATAGAAGCATCGAATAGCCCTGCAAACCTCAGAGGGAAGGCAGGGGAAGGTTGGGGGGGCGGTGGGTTAGAGATCAACCAAAGGACTTGTATGCATGCATATAAGCATAACCAATGGACACAGACAATAGAGGAGTGAGGGCATGTGCTGGGGAGAGAACAATAAAGAATTTAAATTAAAAAGAAAAGCAAAGACTACTTCCCCAATAGATCTGTCTCAGTGTCTGAGTGCAGAAGAGTTTGGATTGTGACAACCACCAGATAGATTTTATTTTTATATAAAATAATCTCAATTATAAGTATTGAGGCCATTTTTAAGACCATTAAAAAAAGGTATTCCATTTCTAACATGGCTTCTTATTAGATATCCTGATTTTCTGGTTAGCTCTATGTTTTCATTGATCAGGTTATTTAAATAAAGCTACTTGTGAAAACGCAAACCTGTGACACTGGCCATGATCCCCAAAGGATAATAGGAGTAATAAAGTGAGGTGTTGCTTATAAACGGGACTAGCTTTCTTTAAGGTTCCATGGAGAATTGGTTGGTTGGTATCTGTTTTTGGAAATGAGAGAGACCCTTGGGTTAAAGCTTAGAAACTGTCCTCCTTAGTCCATTTGTCAGCTTAGAAAAATTCCTGAGCTCTTAAAGGCCCAGGGATTCCTAAGTGGCTGCCTAGCAGAGTCCCCAAGAGAATTTGTTTTTAATACATTTTTTTATTTTGGAGTAATTTTAGATTTACAGAAAAGTTATAAAGATAGTACAGAAAGTTTCCATATACCACCCCCCCCCCCCCCCCCCGTTTCCTCCATTGTTAACATCTTAGATTACCAAGGTGCATTTGTCAAATCTGAGCAGTTGACATTGGTACCTAACTACTAAATAAACTCCAAACTTGATTTGGATTTTGCCAGATTTTCCATTAATATCCTCTTTTTGCTCTAGAATCCCAATCCAGACTCCCAGTCCGGGCTCCCACAGTGCATTCAGTTGTTACATTTCCCCACTCTCCTCTGGCCTGTGGCAGTTTCTTAGTCTTCCTTGTTTTTCATGACCTTGACAGTTTTGAGGAGTACCTATCCCACCTGGGCGCATGGGAATTAAGCTCCACCTTCTGCAAGGGGGAAGTATCTACATACACTATTTAAAGTTCTGCATGGAAGATTTGTTTCTTCCCATTTATGTATTTATTCAATCATTTATTTATATCAGTATGAATGCATGGATATTTATTTTATACTTTGGATTATAATCCAATACAGTGTTATTTGTTTTGTTGCTGAATTGGCTCCAGCTTTGGAAGCTCCTTCAGGTTGGCTCCTGTGTCCTTTGACACGCCCCCATCCTTTTGTTTTTGAGCATTTCCTTACTTTCTGGTACTTTAAGATGCTCCAGGTTCACTTTTTATTTTTTTCTGCCCCAGCCCTAGAATTAGTCATTTTTCAAGGAGCCCCCTCTGTACTCCTCCAGGGTGTTTTTAAAAATCCAGGCCCTTGGACTTCATGCTGGACCTAGGGGATAGATCTCTGGGCAAAATCTAGGTACAGGCATTTTAATAAGTTCCCATGTTGGTTATCATTACGCTGCAGTAAGCTTGTTGTATGATCCTTGGTAGACAGGTAAACAAAATAGGTCAAATGTTAGGAATATTCTGGGGGTCCATGTGAATGGCTCCCAGAATCAGAGTTGGAAAAGATTTTAGGGGTCTTTTTTTAAGGTAATTTATTCATTCATTTACCCTTTCATGGATTCAAACAGAAGTTATGCGGCCCACAGTCCTGCTACTGTGGAACTGACAGTGGAGGGGAAAGAATTACTAAAACTAAGTCAACCAGCAGACACATGTTACTGCAGCGATTTATTTGGAGTACCCCAAAATGAGAGGTTATTTGCTCTTAGCTTGAACTCAGAACACATAACTAGAAACATCACTTTGTTTCTTTAAAGAAAAGCATTAGGGGGGTCTGTCTCCTTTTCAAGACTAAAAAAACCAATGTGTACTCCTAAATGTCAGTGCCCCAGGCTGCGTGCAGACCAAGTCCTGTTCAGAACAAGAAAGGCAAATGTGGACTTGGGGACTGGCTAGGGTCCTACCACCATGGTAGCGTCTTCTGTTTCCTTTCCGTTCTTTTCCCCCAGACATGGAAACTACAAACTTGACAGTTTGGAAACCAAAACCCTTTATATCCCATTGTTGTTTAACACTCAAAGACATGGAGAGCAAAGGAAAGAGGCTTAGTAAGAAGAAGGAAGGATATAAAATATTTGCTTACCAAATATTTTGCTTACCAAGTTTTAAACACAGATTACTGTGTAATCATTTAGTAGGTGAAGATCTTTCTCATTCTGTCAGAAATGTAGTAGTTCACTGCTTCTGGAATCAGCACTGTTCTTGCCTTCTGAGAAGAGAGCTGGGAAGGTTGCATTTTCCTGTCCAGCATCGTGGGAGCTGGATGGATAGCATGGAAGCTGAGGCTGTGCAGGTGGCAGGTCTGGCTGCTCTGCAAATGCCTTTGGGGGTTGGGGGGTACACATGTGCTAAGCATGGAATCAGAGGATGACTTGGATTTCCATCTGTGGAAACAAACCACTGACGCTGTCCCATTCTCTCCCCAGCTTCTTCCTGGAGAAGAATATGTTTGTTTTCTTCTTGAACATCCTGCGGCAGAAATCAGGCCGCTATGTGTGCGTTCAGCTGTTGCAGACCTTGAACATCCTCTTTGAGAATATCAGTCACGAGACCTCACTTTGTAAGGACAATCCTTGACACCTGCCTCTGCACTGCTGAGAGTTGGCCGCGTGTAATTTGGCATGGTTTTTGTGTTGTTTTTCAAATGTCTGTGTTTGCCATATATCTTAGTGTACTTGGGCTGCTGTGACAAAGTATCCCAGACTGGGTGGCTTAGACAACAGAAATTTATTTTCTGGAGGCTGGAAATCCAAGATGTGCCTTCAATGTTGGTTTCTGGTGAGGTCTCTCTTCCTGGTTTGCAGATGGCTGTCTTCTCATTGTGTCCTCATATGATCTTTCTTTGTGCACACACCGCAAGTTCTGGTGTCTCTTCCTTTTCTTTCCTTTTTTGTTAATCCTCACTTGAGGATTTTTTCCATTGATTTTTTTAGAAAGAGTGGTAGGGAAATGGAGAGAGAGAGAGAGACATCAATGTTTCACACACACCCAACTGGGCCAGGAATTGAACCTGCAACCCAGGTACGGACCCTTGACCAGGAATCGAACCTTCGATCCTTCAGTGTGTGGGCTGACACTCTAACCACTGTACAACACTGGCCAGGGCTGTCTCTTTTCTTATAAGGATACCAGTCTTATTGGATTAGGGCCCTCTCCTATGACCTCATTTAGCCTTAATCACCTCCTTAAGGCCCTATCTCCAAAACAGTCACATTGGGGGTTAAGGCTTCAACATAGGGATTTTGAGGACACATTTCAGTCCATAACATCATGTTTATCCCTGCTTGGTGGTGCTTTGAATGGCTAAGGGAGCGTCTGTTGCTGAGTGATTCTGGGGCATTGGCATTTCTTGTTTATAATTTATTACTAATGAGTTGGAGTCTATCAGCCAATAGAATAAGCATTGGAAGCAGCCGGGGAGGAAGAACTCAGCCAGAGCATGCAGGGCGTGGGCTTTGGCACCTCCCCGACTGACACCTGTGTGACTCAGAGCTTATTCCCTGCCCTCACTAAGCCCCTGGTCTTCATCTAAACAACCTCCCCTGAGAGGCAGGTGCTGTCGCTGCCCTCATTTAATGCTCAGAGAGTTTGAGTCACTGGCCCAGGTGACAGCTCTAGCAAGGCCAAAATTGAGAAGAGGTTCAGTCCAGGTGAGTTAGCTCCTGATTGTGCTCCCAGCAGACATTTGTCAATGTCCAGAGACACTCTTCGTTGTAAAGATGGTGGAGGTTGGGGGACTGCGTGCTGCTACTGGAATCTCATGGGTGGAGACCAGGGGTTCGACTAAACATCTTACAAAGCACAGGACAGCCCCACAGCAAAAGAACTTTATAGTCCAAAATGTCAGCAGTGCTGAGGGTGAGAAACCCTGTTAGCTCCTAGTCCTCCATGCTTGACCACTACCTGTATTATTCCAAGGTGACCACACCAAGCCCTAGGCCCTACCCATAGTAACTAAGGAAAAGAAGACAAGTGACTGAATGTCTACATCAGAGGCAGGTTCTAGGTCCCCAATATAGGTTTGAAAATTGCCCTAACCGGTTTGGCTCAGTGGATAGTGCGTTGGCCTGCAGACTGAAAGGTCCCAAGTTCGATTCCGGTCAAGGGCATGTACCTTGGTTGCGGGCACATCCCCAGTGGGAGGTGTGCAGGAGGCAGCTGATCGATGTTTCTCTCCCATCGACGTTTCTAACTCTCTATCCCTCTCCCTTCCTCTCTGTAAAAAATCAATAAAATATATTAAAAAAAAAAAGAAAGAAAGAAAATAGTTTTTGTTGGGTAGAAGGAGGTAGTGATGGTGTCATTGGCATTCCTTTGGGGAAGGAGGAAGAGGTACGGAAGAGCAATTGAATGGTGACTCTCAGAAGCGACCACTAGATGGTGCTACTGCTTCAAGATGAATGTGAGTTGTCTCTCCCTAAGTCAGTGGTTCTCAACCTTCTGGCCCTTTAAATACAGTTCCTCATGGTGTGACCCAACCATAAAATTATTTTCGTTGCTACTTCATAACTGTAATGTTGCTACTGTTATGAATCGTAGTGTAAATATCTGATATGCAGGATGGTCTTAGGCGACCCCTGTGAAAGAGTTGTTCGACCGCCAAAGGGGTCGCGACCCACAGGTTCTCAACTTTTGTTACACTGGATATGAATTGTGTGGTTTCTGAGAGTTCCGAGAGGGCAAGACCCAGCTCGGTGGTGCAGGCCCTGGACTCAGACCCAACTAGGCCCCAGGCTGGTTCTGCCATAAATTCCCCCAGTGTGCTCCGGGAGTGAACTCTCCAAGCTGCAGTGGAGATATCCTAGTTACTGAACCTGTGGGTCGCGACCCCTGAAAATACATCCTGCATGTCAGATATTTACATTACTATTCATAACAGTAGCAAAATTACAGTTATGAAGTAGCAACGAAAATAATTTTATGGTTGGGAGTCACCACAACATGAGGAGCTATATTAAAGGGTCACGGCGTTAGGAAGGTTGAGAACCACTGTTCCTAGTACTTGGGAAATGGAGTGGCTTGAGGATTAAGTTTGATAGTGTGTTTGCAGAGCATAGTACTGGGTCTGGCAGATAGATGGAAGTGTCTGGAAGGGTTGGTTTTATTATGAAATCTAGCATTCCCTCCAAATGTCTGTTCTGTGGTGACCCTTTCTAAGCCCGGGCTACTCATTAAAGATAGGAGTTGGGACAATTAAAATTCTGGGGTTCCTGGATTAGATAACTTTTCATGTACTGTGTCTAAAAAGGGTGCCCTGCTGTAAGAAACCCAGGCAGATACCACTAGCTTTAGGGGAAATTCACCAGAGTACTTATAAGCCTGCCAAAATGGAGAAGTCACTTACTTTGTATAGAACTTGGATTTATGTGGGTAAGAAGATAGATGACTTTTGCTTTTATTTTTATTTTCTAATTATGGAAAGAAAATGTCATCATTATAAAGCAACAACCAAAAAAAAAAAATCAAATATTACAGCCTAGCCAGTGTGGCTCAGTGGTTGAGGGTCACGGTTCAATTCCTGGTCAGGTCACATGCCGTTGCAGGCTGGGACAATTAAAATTCTGGGGTTCCTGGATTAGATAACTTTTCATGTACTGTGTCTAAAAAGGGTGCCCTGCTGTAAGAAACCCAGGCAGATACCACTAGCTTTAGGGGAAATTCACCAGAGTACTTATAAGCCTGCCAAAATGGAGAAGTCACTTACTTTGTATAGAACTTGGATTTATGTGGGTAAGAAGATAGATGACTTTTGCTTTTATTTTTATTTTCTAATTATGGAAAGAAAATGTCATCATTATAAAGCAACAACCAAAAAAAAAAAATCAAATATTACAGCCTAGCCAGTGTGGCTCAGTGGTTGAGGGTCACGGTTCAATTCCTGGTCAGGTCACATGCCTGAGTTGCAGGCTTGATCCCCAGTGGGGGGCATGCAGGAAGCAGCCAGCCAATTGATGATTCTCTCTCATCATTGATGTTTCTATCTCTCTCCCTCTCCCTTCCTTTCTCTGAAATCAATAAAAACATATATATTTTAAAAAATCAAACATTACAAAATATAGAAAGCAATAGTTCTGTAGAATCTCACCCTACAGTTCAGTCAGATACCATTTTGCTGTTTGTTTTACTTTTCCCTAACCTACCAGTTATCTTAGACCTTCTGATTGCCTGTTCATGCAACCTTACATAGTTTAGTTCAAGAGCTGCATTTGCTGGGCCATAACTTATTTAACTTGACCATGGGCATTTAGGTGTTTTCCGAATTTTCACTATTACAAGCAGCCATATCACAAGGGCACCTGTTGGCTGCTGATTTTGGTGACCTAAGTGACAGAAGGCTGAGAGACTGAGATTACTTATAGACTCCTGGGTTTATTATAAAAGGATACCACAGAAAGTCAGCCCCACAGTGAGGGGGTAGGAGAAAAATTCCAGCCGAATAATAGAGGCCCTTCCGCTGCCCCCAGGGTGGTCCCCACCACCCACAGAGTCATTTTGTGGAGGCCCTGGAAAAGTCCCTGCTGTAATGATTGGAGCATGTGGCTTTTCCACCTTGAGAATGCAGCCCAGAGGCTCACGTTGCAAGGCTGAAGCTACCAGCATTGGCGTCTGCACCTCTGGTGGCCCGGAAGCCACTAACCAGTCACAACGAAGCTCACCATGACATCTCAACTGTCCCTTCTCCTGCCAGCTTATTTGTCCCCATCTATAGCCAGAATGACAGAATGAAAAAGAAGCACTCTGGCCATTAGTATCACCTGGACTGCTTGTCAAGATTCTAGGCAGGTAGATTGCAAACTGTTCAAAGCATGGAATACTTTGCAAAAGGAAAAAAAGGAATGAACTCTTACCACTAGGTGCAGCAACATGGATAATTCTCAGATATGATGAAAGATGCCAGACAAGAAGCGTGCATACTGTATGATTCCATATCTATGAAGTTCAAGAACAGGCAAAGCCAGTTAATGATGGAAGTCAGACTAGGGGTTGTCTTTAGAGAGGGGGTAATGACTGGACAAGGTCATGGGGAGCCTTCTGGGGAGCTGGACATATGCTATGTCTGGTCTGGGTGGTGCTTATGGTGTCTATATTTGCAAAAATTCATCAAGCTAGACAGACACCTAAGATTTGTGAAGTGTATATATATATCAGTTCACAGGTACATGTACTTAACATTCCTATATATGTGCATTTCCACATATATCAAGCCGTACAGTCAAGATTTGTGGAATGTGTACCTCATTTTTAAACACAGATTCTTGGGCCCTCATCCCAGACACACTGCCTCTTCTCTTGGAGCAGACGCCAATATCTACCTCAGTTATTGTTCTGATCAAGAAATTTTGAAAACCATTCTAAGATTACAGACTTCATGGCCTGTCTGTGCAGCCAGAATACCCAGTGTGTGTTGAGTGCAGTGGCTTTTCTGGAGAGCTGGCTTCTGAGGAGGACCCAGCTGTGGCCCCTGCCATAGCCCCTGCCATAGCCTCTGCCATAGCCTCTCATGGCCCTGGGCTCCTGGCTGGCCCTTTATATTGTGTTTGGTGATTCCAAATAGTCATTTCAGTAATTCTTTGGCCTAAGTTAGGTACCTCTTTGGCTACTGGTTTATTTTCGATTCACCCAAGAGCAACTGTGTTCAGTCCTGGGAATATGGTGGTGGAGACTATGACTCTCCAAATGAAAGTAATAAGCAATGGCAGCTAACAGTATTGAGTGCTTACTTTGTGTCTCTCACTGTTCTTAGTGATTTCTGTGTATTATCTTTAATTCTCAGAACAGCCCCGTGAGGAAGGCATTGTTATTTTAGCTTTCAAACAAGAAGACTGGGGAGTGGTGAGGGTAAGTGGTTTGCTCAAGGTCACCCAGCTAGGACGTGGCAGAGGCAGTGCGGGCCCAAGTCCATGTTTAACCCAGTGTCTCACACACGAGATGGTGGGAAGCCCTGTGGGGTTTCTTAACGCGGAGTCCCGGGCCTACCCCCAGAGATGTGCGTGGGGTCAGGAATGGGCCCAGGATCCAGCGTGTCTGACTAGCTCCAGGTGATGCCGTGCTGCTCCTCCGAGGACCACACTCTGAGTCACTCCGCTCTCCTGTCTTGTGTGTCTGCCTGTAGGTGCAGGTGTTGATGGTGCTCTGCCTTTAACCATTTGTGGGGAAGCAGCTGGGGTGGTGCAGAGCTCACAAGCTGGCAGTCCAGAGGACAGACAGGATACAGCAGAGCCTGCTTTGAAGGGTGGCTGGTGAGGACTTAGAGGAGGGCCCAATGCCAAGGTCACGAACTAGGGGCCCATAGGCCACAGCTGGTCTACAGACTTATGTTTTCAGGCCAGCACAGCTTTAAAAACTAGCCAGTCTAGTGGCCAACATTGCAAATTCAGGAGATGCAGCATTAAAATCTGTGTTACCCAGCTTCCTTTGCATCATGGGAAGCTCTCACCATGCTGAACCTGCATTTCTGAAGGGGCCAGGGCCAGGGAGCTTCGAGGGAGTAGCCGTTCTTCCGTTGGCCCCGGTGCCTCCAGGCCCTCATCATTGTCGACCCCCATTAGTGATGATATTAACACAGGCTTTTACATGGGACCTTGCTTCCAGTTCCATCTCTGCAACTTTCTGTTTCTTGGGGCAAATTAATCAACCTCTCTGAGTTTTTTTTTTTACTCATCTGCAAAATGGGAAGAATGAGGCCTACTCTGCAGTATCGTTGTGACAGTTATAGTGTAAAGCATTCAGCCTGGTGCTAGGCATGTAGTGGAGGTTATGAAAAGCTATAAAAACTATATAGGGAGAAAAAAACCACGTGTGTGAGGCCCTTTGCGGCATTCAGGAATGATGGGGTGACTTTTGGTGGCAAAATGGGGAAACTTTTTATATAATACAGTGCTTTTTACCCTCATCCGTGGGTTGATTGTGAAATGCCCACGCACCAACTCATTTGTCCCACTCCCAGCTCGGTGTTGAGTTGTGCCAGCAATGAAGAAAATGTTCAAGGGTTCTTTTCTGCTTGGTGTGGGAGGGTGGGGTACCCCGGGCTTTTCTCTGGCATTGCTTTTGAACTTTCTGGTGACTACGCATAGTGGCTGATTTCTTTGAGGCTAAAGGTTAAGCTGCTCCCTGTTAGCTTGTTTAACCCCACCCACCCAGAAGGTTGACTGGTTTGTGTATATTCATATGGTCATCTGCTTGTTACCTTTCTCTACTTGTCTATCCTCCAGCACGAATTAACCTGTTCTTTTGTTTTGTTTTTCTCCCTCTAGATTATTTGCTCTCTAATAATTATGTAAATTCTATCATTGTACATAAGTTTGACTTTTCCGATGAAGAGATTATGGCATATTATATATCGTTCCTGAAAACACTTTCGTTAAAACTCAACAACCACACTGTCCATTTTTTTTACAATGAGGTAAGTGACTGCCGGGGAGGTGCATTTGGATGCAAAGCCAGCTGGTCAGAGCAGCACCTTCTGTCCGGGTGGCCTCCTCTCTGTTTACAAAGCACTTATGTGCTTGTTCTTTCTGATTTTCATAGCAACACTGCTTGGCCTTGGCATGCTTACTTTTTTAAATTTAATAAGTTACCTTTCCATTTCTTATGTAAAATTCAACTATTGCAAACTGAGAGCGGAGTACTTGGCAGGGAGAAGTGCGTGGAAGTTGATTTGGGGGTCGTGTTACCCTGTGGGGAAAACAGGAAGTCCAGTCAGACCCAGTTTTGCCACTTCCCTGCTGTGTGACCTTAGAGAAGTCCCAGTCCTCTAAGCCTCAGTTTCTTCCTCTAAGAGATGGGGATGGTAATATATACCTTGTAGGGTTTTTACAGGGATTGAATTAAATGAGATGATGCCCACAAAGCACCTAATATGTACCTGGCTCCCTAAAGTCATAGCTATTCTTTTAAAGGTATATAGATTTTTTTTATTGATTTCAGAGAGAGAGCGAGAGAGAAACATCAATATGAGAGAGAATCACCGACCAGCTGCCTCCTGTACGCACCCTACTTGGGAATCGAGCCCGCAACCCAGTCATGTACGCTGACTGGGAATCTAATCATCGTCTCCTGGTTCATAGGTTGATGCTCAACCACTGAGCCACACCAGCCGTGTGTTATTGCTGTCCTTTAGAAGTTAACATCCCTAGTAATCCTTGGGAGAATTACTACACATTTAAATAAATAAATTGCTATTGTTCCCACAATTAAAAGTAGCTTGAACAATAAAGCCAGTTTATCTTATACCAAAAGTTACAGATGCCAGCTGTCCTGAGGCTGGTCCATCCTGTGGCTAACCCCTTCACCAAGGACCAGGCTTTTCCATCTTCCTGCTCTGCTGATCATACAGTCGGCATCTTTCGTCAGGCGTGGCCCTCATGATCTCAGTACGGCTGCAGCAGCTCCAAACCTCACATGCTCACATGCCACTGCTGAAAAGCCTGATGAGATCACTTTCCTTTTTGGTTTCTTTAACTTCCAAAAACCTTCTTTCCCAGAAGCCTCCCAGCAGACTTCCTCTCATGTCTCTCTGGTCAGAATTGTGTCGAATTTATCTCACAGTATGTCTAGAATTTGGGAGTGGCCTGGCAGAGCATTTCTGGCTTGATATCTCGTGACGCGGCATCATCTGAAGGCTGGATTAGGGTTGGAATTTCTGTTTCCCAGGTGGCTTGCTCATATGGCTGGCCAGTTGGTGCTGGCTTCCCCTAGAATGAATGATCCAAGAGACCAAGGCAAGCTGGAATACATTTTATGACCCAGCCTCAGAGGCCACACACCATCACTTTTGCCATATTCTTTAGGCCACAAAGAGAGCCTGATTCAGTGTAGGAGAGGATGACAGAAGTGTGTGAATACAGGAGGTGAGGATCATTGGGTCATCTTGGAGGCCAGCTATCACACAACCACTTGCTGTTTGCGTGGCAGGTGTCTTCTGATTGGTGGTTACATATGCTGTGAAGCCTCGGATCTAAAGTCAGATCATAGTCCCAAACATATCCTTTGAGTTTGAGCAGAGTCCATCTAGCTATTTCCATATGATGCAGCAACAGTGGCCTGAACCTTGGTTTTGTTTGTCTGGATTGGTAGTGGGGAAGAGCTGGCCTCAAAGGGAAGAATACTAGCTGCCAATCACAAAAAACGGTGGCAATTTGAAAAATCAACATTGTGTGGCCTTGCCACATAGTAGGTGCTCAGTAAACATGTTTAGAGACCACTTAGATGACATTAGAATTTTCTGAGGGGCTCTTCCAGGTGGAAGAAAACCCACCTGCAAAGTTCAGATCAGAGAGAGAAACACTATCCCTCCACTCAGGTGCACCTGGGCTTCTGTGCACCCAGCTAAGAGGGCAGGACGCTGGGATTCTGGGGCCAGAGTGATGCTTCTGGAAGAAGATCCTGCTGGTCACCAGAGGAGTGGTGGGAGCCTCATTGTTGAGGTGGGCTTGGTTTCCTCTTTCATGTGGGCCAGTACAGTTGCTACCAAATTGTTAAGTGCACACTTGACTTCTGGTGCTCAAAGTCGTGTTTTTCTTATTAGACAGTGGTGGTGGCTGGAGGTGGCCTCGTCCCCACTCCCTTACTGCCGTGAGTGCTCCTCAGTTGGCTCTGGAGCCTGTGGGAAAACTGGCCAGAAGACGGCAGCCGAGTACGCCAGCTTTCTCTTCTAGGCCCTCTTCAGGGGAGTTCTGTGGTTCTGAACTGTTTTGTCTGTTCTGATGATCCCTTTTTAATGACAGACTATTCCTAAGACCCTCCTCCACCATGATATTGTATACACTTTTAGTATTTCCAAATAGAGGAATATATAATAGGCAAGAGAGATTCTGGATGTAGTAAAACTTGACATTTGCTTTTTTTTTTTTTTTTTTTTTTTTTTTAGCAGCATCTAATAATAACCAGCATTACTACTGAGTACTTATTAGGTATCCGGTGCTGGAGTTAGCATTGTGTTGGAAGTAACCTCATTTATTCCTGGCAGTTATGAAGTGGGAATTATTATCCCCATTTTCTAGATGAAGAAATAGAGGCTTAGAAATATTACATCACACAGCTAAGAAGTGGTAGGACAGATCATTAGCCTGGGTCTGGACTGTTTTCTATTCCATGATCTCCCTTCTCCATTCCTTCCGACATTCCCCATTGGGAGTGAACCACTGGCTTAACGTCCATGTTGGTAATATTTTTGGGGGGTCTTTGACTGATGTCTGTGATAGGATTCAGAAAGCCGGGGTGGGGGCAGGCCTGTCTTATGGGTTTGTAACTCCTTTTTGGTACTTCTTTTGTTTTAGCACACTAATGACTTTGCCCTGTACACAGAAGCCATCAAATTTTTCAATCACCCTGAAAGCATGGTTAGAATTGCTGTAAGAACCATCACGTTGAACGTCTACAAAGGTAAGTTTTCCTTATGATTTCTGCCTTGCAGCTAGTGCTCCCTCTCAGGAGCTCATTTACTGTAGCTGTGGTTGCTTGTCTCACAAAGGGCTTGTAGGCATTGGACATTTAGCTGGCCCCTTACAGGAATTTTGTACCACTGTCTTTTCCCTGCATACGCATTTTGTCCCTTATTCCAGTGTCAGGTAAGTTATCTTAGTGCTAACACAGAAGTAGCAGTGTTCTAAGAGAGGCACATGTGGGACTTGGAGTGGTCATGTGATAATTAGATAAAGCAGAGTTATCTTTTAAATGTTAGATTTAAATTTTTCTGTTTTGGCCTATAAAATATCTTCCAGGGGGTATGTTATCTTTAAATCATGTATAAAAGCATTTCATATCATGAGCAGCAGGGGGCAATATTGTATTCTCAGCCTGCTGCAAAGCCCTCCTTTCTTTCAAGATGAACTTAATACCCAAATCATTGCCTCCAAGAGAAAGGCTACCACAGCTCCCTGCCCACACCAGCACCAAGGCTGGCTGCACACAAGTCCCCTCTCCCTCCCCCACCTGGAATTGACCCTCAGGGTAATACCTTCTGGTTAGTTTCCCTGTAATCACCACACTGAAGCTGGGACTGTTTCTCAGGGACCAAAGGGCTTTGGCCTTCACAAATTCACATGTTGTTACTTGAGATGACCCCTAATTGGGAGGGGCAAGAGCTCCTCAGGGACTCACTCCAGCCTAGCTCTGGGATTGTGTTAAATTGAAGAGCCTTTCTAAGAGCTCAGTGGGGCCTATCCAGAGGTCGAAATCTGAGGGCCTGGTTAGATGAATCCAGTCCTCAGACAATTTTTAATTGGCTTAGATATTTTTTGAAAAATTATATCGTTGTCAGTATTTTTTTTTAATCCTCGCCCGAGGATATTTTTTCCATTGATTTTCAGACACAGTTAAAAGGAGGGGTGGGAGGGGAGGGGAGGGAGAGAGAGAAACATTGAATGTGAGAGAGACACATCGATTGGTTGCCTCCTGTATGGGCCTTGACTGGGGCCGGGGATCAAACCTTGCAACCCAGATACATGCCCTGTGACCCTTCAGTGCATATTGAACCTGTGACCCTTCGGTGTGTAGGCTGACACTCTAACCACGGAGCACACCAGCCAGGACTATAGTTGCCAGTATTTAAAAATTAGAAGATCTTGGGTAATAATCTGGATTTTTGACTTGAAAATGCAGATTTGGCTATTCTGGGCTCACAGTCCTGCAGGATGGTGGTGAACCTGTGCTGAGGAGCAGTTGCCCCCTTTGCAATTATGCTCCCCAGTTCACTGGCCAGGCCTGCTGGCTTCACTCACTGAGTCGTCTGCCAGCCTGGCTTCTGAGTTTGCGACCTGCTCCAGGCTGCAATTCTGCTGCCTCCTGTTATCTGTTTTCTCTTGTTCTCTTCTAACCTGTGTCTTTTAGTTTAGATGCCTCCTGCCCTAGCTCTCTCCCTCTGAGCAGCTGTCTCACCATCCCAGTTCCTAACCCTGTTAACCGTTGTCTGTTTTTTGCCTTTCCTTCAATGACGAGTCCCGTGTTCCTTATTCCAGTGTCATGTAAGTTATTAACCTCTGATTTTTCGCTTTCTTAACTTATCATTACATGTATACACAGGAAACTTGCTTAAGAATGTAGCTTTCATTGTAGTCTAGCTAAACACACCACTGATAAGTAGGCTTTCTAATGCACTATTAAAGTTGAACTCAATTAATTAATTTTATTAATCATAAAAATAGCATAAGAACTGCCTTGATAAGTATAGTTTTATGAATAAAATAACCATTTTCAAGTATTTTCAGGGAAAACAGAAAAGATTCAGATAATAGTAGCTGACTTTTTTTTATTATGGTTTCTTTTTTTTAAATCTCCCCCAAGTTATTTTTGGTAGCTTGACTCTTTTTTTCTCTTCTTTTGTGAATTTTCCCAGTGGATAACCAGGCCATGCTACATTATATCAGAGATAAAACTGCTGTCCCTTACTTCTCCAATTTGGTCTGGTTCATCGGGAGCCACGTGATCGAACTTGATAACTGTGTGCAGACTGATGAGGAGTAAGTGACCTCGTGGGGTACTTGTTAGGTAGACAGACAGAGTGATTAGGGGAGAATTTCCTTTTTATCAAGGAAAAATAAACATTAGAACAAAACTTACTCGCTTATGTGTAGGCATGATATGGACTTACATACTCTGAAAGGTTCCACCCACCTGTCTACTTTTTATAATAGTGGGAAACTGGAGACAACTCAGATACCTTCCAGAGAGAATGAGGGTTAGTAAATTCAGTACACCTGTAGATGGGGTGATAGGCGGCTGGTAAAAAGACGTAAGTGATCTGTCAGCTGGTGAATGAGTAAACAAAATATATTTGCATACAATGGAATAGTATTCGGCAATAAAAAGGAATGAAGCTCTCATACATGCTGCACCATGGATGAACCTGAAATGCATTGTGCTCGGTGAAAGAAGCCAGACACAAAGGACCACGTATTGTATGATTGCATTTATATGAAATGTCCAGAATAGGCAAATCCATAGAGACAGAGAGTAGATTAGTGTTTTGTAGGACTGGAGGGGGGGCGGTTATGGGGGAAATGGGAAGTAACTGGCTCTAAGTATAGGTCTTTTTTGAGGGGAGGGGATAAAAAAGTTCTAAAATTGATTGTGATGATGCTTAGATAACTCTACAAATACACTAAACCCATTAAATTTTGTGATTTAAATGGGCGAATTTTACGGTATGTGAATTATATCTCAATATATCTGTGGGGTTTATTTTTTTTTTTGTCTTTTTAAAAAGATGAAGATGGTAATTTGGGCCCTAGAGTAATGAATAGAAATTCCAGGGAAAGATTTCTCCAACCGGCACTCTTGGTCTCTTGAACTAACTAATTTTCTGTTGTGGGGCTGTCCTGTGCATTGTAAACTGTTTAGCAGCATCCGTGACCTTTACCCACTAGATGCCAGTAGCACTCCTTTTGCAGTTGTGACAATGAAACATGCCTCCAGACATTGCCAAATGTCTCCTTTAAGATTGTCGTCAGTTGAGAACCACTGTCCCAGAGTGACAGCTTTGCACAGACTTGTGATAGTCACACCCAGAAGGGTTCAGGATGATAAAGGGACTCTGGAAGGAGGTTCCCTAGGGGGAGGGGACTAGAGAGAGAGCATATTAGATCTCATGTTGACAAAGAAGCAAGAAGGGGTGGGAGCGGCCTGGGAGAGGTCAATGGGGGGAAAAGGTGACATATGTAATACTTTAAACAATAAAGAATTTAAATTAAAATTTAAAAAAAAAGCAAGGAAAGGTAGATGGCAAATCTGATGGAGCAATTTCATATGGATTTGAGCAGGTGTAGATATGAAACATAAGGAGGCAGTTAACTCCGGAGAGAAGAACAGGTTATACAAGGAAGGACATGAACCCCTAGTCCTCTGTTTGTCTCTGCAGTGAATGGCTATGATAATGTCAACATCAGTTGTTAATGACTATTGGGGGGAAGGAGTGGATGTAATACAAAGGGTTCTGTCATAACATAATGCATAACATAATGCGGCTCAGTCACAAAATAGAGGTTCTCTCCGATTTTACCACAGAAACAACTAAAAGTTAAAAACCACCTCCTGTGGAGAGTGGGCAGGGGTGGGGGAGGTTGGTCCAGGAGCTGCTATTTTTTTTTCTTATCAGCTTATCAGTACTATTTGATTTTTAAACTCATCTGCATATATTGCTATGATAAGAGTTTTTTAAAGTAAAGGTTTAAAAAGTAAAGTGCATTAGATATCCTGTGGGAGAAAAATTTCCACAGTATCTTAAGTGGGGTAAAGCTTGTGAAAGGTGTATGAATGTTCTAGGTCTCAGGTGGGCTGTGGTCCATAGGTACTCATTACACCAGTGGTTCTCAACCTTCTGGCCCTTTAAATACAGTTCCTCATGTTGTGACCCAACCATAAAATTATTTTCGTTGCTATTTCATAACTGTAATGTTGCTACTGTTATGAATCATAATGTAAATGTCTGATATGCAGGATGGTCTTAGGCGACCCCTGTGAAAGGGTCGTTCGACCGCCAATGGGGTCCCGACCCACAGGTTGAGAACCACTGCATTACACGACCTTTAAATACAGTTCCTCATGTTGTGACCCAACCATAAAATTATTTTCGTTGCTATTTCATAACTGTAATGTTGCTACTGTTATGAATTGTAATGTAAATGTCTGATATGCAGGATGGTCTTAGGCGACCCCTGTGAAAGGGTCGTTCGACCGCCAATGGGGTCGCGACCCACAGGTTGAGAACCACTGCATTACACGCTTAGGCTTTACAACATGTATTTGCCATAAATACTTACTACATATCATATTCAAGTATAATAAAGGATGATTATCCAAAGATATATAAAAGAAGCAAAATTGATCCCAATTTTAAAGTAGAGATGACTGGATGGATAGATATATAACACCTGCATCTTAGGTGAGACTATGGGGAGATAGAAATGTGGAAAAACGGAATGTAGGGACACAAGTCCAAAAATATCATCTGTTAGTGGTGGAGCTAGAGGAGACTTTGCTTTATTTTATTTTATTTTATTTTATTTTATTTTCTTCTTCAATTTTCTGTCTTCTAAAATGGCCGTCTATTACTTGAGTAATACCCATAATACAAACAAAGTGTCTTACCCTATCTAGATTACTTTTTGTAACAGATACCACTTTGGGGGTGGGGAAAATGGGCCCACCAGCTATTTTAGGGGCTCTGCCATCCTTTGTGAGGTTGACACTGACTCACCCATGGGGCCAACCAGCATGCTATTGGTTCACTACAAGGAGATAGAGACCCGCTGGGGCCTGAGGTCGGATGTCATGTCTTTGCGCTCTGTCCCACATAAGGTCAGGGCCAGTGGGTCCCGCGTAGCTGCTGAGGCCTGCTTTTCTCCTCAGAACTCCTCTAGAGCATTTTAATTAGCAAGGATTTATTGCTCCATTAATACTGCTTATCTTGGGAGCAAGGGGATCTTGCCACATTGGCTAGTGGATCCTCTTGTGAAATGGCTTGCCAAGAGCTTAGCTGTTTCTTTGCTTTGTTTATCCATCTTTTTTTGTGGTTGTGGTGGTGGCTGGGGGTGGGGGTGAGTTATACTGAGGCCCCCAGAGGGTGGGGTACCCCAGGAGTCCCCTAAAATCAATACATTAGAGTGGCCTAGGTCCTTTTCCCTTTGTGTCCCCCATTGGTAGGGCAGGATAGATGTTTCTTGAAACTAATTCAGATATTTGCTGTATGAATGAGTACACCCAGTGACCTAAGTCTCAGGCCATTGGTCTAGGTCCAAGGGCTCTGAGCTTTGGATTCCAGACTGAGGTGGTCATTTTTATTGGCAGGCACCGGAATCGAGGAAAACTGAGTGACCTGGTGGCTGAGCACCTGGACCACCTGCACTATCTTAATGACATCCTGATCATCAACTGTGAGTTCCTCAATGACGTGCTCACGGACCACCTGCTCAACAGACTCTTCCTGCCCCTCTACGTGTACTCACTGGAGAACCAGGACAAGGTGGGTCTGGGGGCCTGGCCCCATTGCTCTTGCGGGCTGAAGGTCTTCAGAAGGAGGGAAGGACAGTCACCTTGAATAGGGCTGAGCTTTGCAAGGGGCCACAGCTTTGAGCCTGCGAGCGATTCCTTTCAAAGCACACTGGTTTTCTTTTTTTTTCCTCTTATTTCCTGCAAGTAGGGGAGGGGGGAGGGCAAAGGAGAAAGGAGCGGGCGAGGAGTGTGTGTGTGAAGGGGGTAGATTGTAAAAACTGTAAAAGTGAATGAGAAAAGAATACTGACATCAGAATGAAACAGGAAACCTCTATGAATTTAGGTTTTTGGCTTCTGTGCATCTTTCTTTTGAGGTGTTCTCATCCTTGGTAACTTTTTCTGGTAGTTGCCAGGGTTAATTGATTTGGAAAAGATCCATCCAGCCACAAAACTTGCACAAAATGGACATGAAGGGATGGAATGCACTTGAAAAGCTTCCAGGGCAATGACTGTCTCCAGTTAACAGGCTCAGAGTCCCTCGTGGGGAGAATGCCTGCTTTTCTTAAAAGTGCACATCCTCAGGTGTCCTCCCCTTTTCAGGGAGGCTGATCCGTTGGGTCTGGGATGGACCAGAAATCTCCATATTTAACCTGCCCCCTCCCGCCCCCAGGAAATTGTGAGCTGGTAGTTCTCTGCTTCCCCCATGAGAAATGCTCCTTCAGGGAGTGGAGGCCTTCTGCCCAGTCCCTCCCAGAGTTAAGGGGCAGAGGCCTCAGCAGGAGGTGGGACAGAGCCAGATGTGTCTCACAGGGGTGCAGCTTTCTTTCTGGAGGTAGAAGATGGAGATTCTTACTAAAAATAAGTAAATGGAAGAAAATTGCAACCCTAACCAAGTCTAGCAGAGGCAGCTCTGGGGGGCAGACAGAAAGCATGGGAAGTGGCTTTTTCAGACCTGGGTTTAAATTCTATCTCTTCCCTTTCCTTACTCTTGACCTTGGACATGGCAGTTAACCTCCCTGAGCAAAACCAGGGTCCTGAAGATCCTCTCAGGGTTGGTGTGAGCCGGAGCTCGGTGAGGCTCAGTGCAAAGGAGAGGCTTTTCAGAGGCTATAGTACCGCAGTCTCCCTGCCCCATTTTAAAAGCTCTTCCTGAGAATAGGCCCCTGGGGAAGAGGGGGGGCTTTCCTGGCAGGCCGGGACTTGGGCTCTCCATGTCCCAGCTGGGAAAAATTAACATTCTTGGTAATTTAAGGAGCCAATTCTTCTTTTGGGTCCAAACTCTAATCCGTGACTAATGATGAAAGATTTCTCAGGTGGAAAAATCGTAGTCTTGCAAATGGTATTGAATGGGATTTGGTGGTGAATTTCTTTTGCAGAGTGGACTTTTGACTAGCTAGCAATAGGCCAAAATAACTCAGGGTCCTGGAGGAAATTAGGGGACAGGGTGCCTCTTCTCCAGACAGATGGCTTTTGGCTGCATATATTTCGTGCCATTCACTTGTGTGACCTGGGCTTCTCCCTCTTTCTTTCCCCTCAACGTTCAAGGGAGGAGAACGGCCCAAAATCAGCCTGCCGGTGTCGCTCTATCTTCTGTCGCAGGTATGTTTGATCATGTGCCCATTTCCCCACCACATGAAGGGGACCTTGGAATGCTGCTGCCCCTCAGAAATTTCCCGTCACATTGTCCTATCTTCTTTCATAGTGTCCCCCATCTTGAAATAAGATAAGAAAATAAATGGGGGTTCTGTTTTCTACACACCGAGTAGAGGTGCCAGTATCTTCTGCATGGTAGTGGATGGAAATTTAACAAGAAATAAAAAATAAATCTAACCTGGCACTTAGGTAGTTGAGTTTTACCATGAGGATTGAGGTTTCCAAAACAACCAAGGAGTGTTCTAAATACCCTGGAAATGTGGACTGTCTGGGTCTTATTCATGGCATTTTGAAATAAGCCCCAAACTGCAGGACTATTGTGTGCATACACACAGCGACCCTGGTTTAATAGACTTCCACTAATGAGGCTGTTTTTAAAGGCTTTTGTCATGGTTCTAGTTCCCAGATTACCTTCTGGAAGGTATCTTGTAGCAGCCTCAGTTCCCAGATTTGCGTCTTAAGCCAATTTGTCTGCCTCCCCCCCTTAAGTGTGTTTCCTTCTCGTAATTATGTAATATTTACAAGAAGGGAAAAACTCCATGGCGACCCAGTTACATAACTTTAAAAATATTTTTATTACAAGCAGTCCAGACTTTCAGGCCATCTCATTAGACTGTCAAGTAGTCAAACGTTTGACCAGAGCTCTGTTCTCACTTCTGCAAATGGCACAGGCATTTATTTGCTTTGCTGAGAGAATGTCCTTCTAACTTGGTCCCTGGGCCATTTTGAGTTTGAGGTGGGGCTGTCTCCCATTGGCCTGAGGCGAGAGACGCAGACCCAGCCTCCTCCCAGCGACTCAGCTGATCAGGATCTGCAGTGGCCTGCTCACTGTTCACTCCTAGCGTCTTGTTCTGGGGGCTCTGTTTGCTTGGAGCTCTGCACTGCTGCTCGCTCCTTCTGAATGCCCCTCTGTGAAACAGCTCAGTGCAAACCCCAGCCTCTCCTGGAAGCTTTTTCCACCACCTCATTACAAATCCGCCAGCATCTCCGCTTGGGATTCTGGGAGTCTGGCAGGACCCGAGCAGGCCAGATGCTCAGCCACAGGAATCTCACGGAACACACCCTCAGGACGCTTCAGCTGTGGGAGCCTTGCACGGACAGGGTCTCCTCCGAGGAGTGAGGGGTCAGACCCCCCTTTACTCTGAGAACCCCTTTCCTCCTGTCTGTTAGTGAAGGACCAGCAGCTCATACACCTAATACTTGTTTCAGTAACACACAGAAAGCACAGCTTGTCATCTGGTGTACCTCAGCTTCAGTGACAGAGCCCTTCCTCCCCTGCATTTTCATTTAGCTTTATTATAATGTTGCCTAAGTGTGTGAAAACCTCAAAGCAGGTATAAACCTCATGTTCTTAAGCCTTACATCAGATCATCCTTGCCAATTATTTTACAAGCACAGCCACAAAACCAAGAAAATTCACATTAACAACATTAACTTAGTATGACAGGATTCTGTCCTGCTGAAACTAAACTGCCACTGGTAAGGAGAGTGTGGTGCAGGTAGGCTGGCCCAGCTTTTCAAGTCTGGCCTGCAAACACTTCCACACACCATGCAGTGACTGGCTCTCCCCTTACTTGTTTTTCTTCATCCAGAGCTCAGGAAGGAATGAGCCTGAGTGGGTCCATAGGTGGGAATCAGTTGACTTTTGTCCAGTGGGCCCTTAGTAGGCACTCACTGAATGTGGATTGACTAAAAGAATAACTAAATGATCATTAAGGTCACATTCACATAAGTGCACAGTAGGTATTTGTGTAATGAATGAACTCAGTGATTGCGATTCGTTGTGTAGTTAAGTGTGGTAATAATTTGGCCATGAGAAAGTGAGAAAATTAACCTACCTCATAATCATAATTGCTAGTAGTTGAATGCCTTCCAGAGCCCTGGACATGGGTGAATTCATGTGATCATACTATGTATTCTCTATGATAGTAAACATGTTTTGTGTGTGTGTGTGTGTGTGTTTAAGTAAATAGGTACTACATTTGGCTATTTTGCCTGTACCTTTAATTTGAATTGTATTTATTTTATTTAACAATATATTCACCCTATTCAAACAATACAAAGTGACATGTAGGGAGGGGTCTCCCTCTGAACCCTGACCCCCCAGGCACCCAGTTCCACTGCCCAGAGGCAGCTGGTGTTTCAGGTTAGTTACAGGGTTTTCCTCTGTCCTTCTAGAAATGTTCTCTACCAAGGGTTCTCAATTGGGAATGATTGCAAAACCTTTCTCCCCACAGGGCATGTTTGGCAATGTCTGGAGATGTTTTCGGTTGTCATAACTGGGGTGGGGAGTGCTACTGGCACCTAGTGGGTAGAGACCAGAAATGCCGCCAGATATCCTACAGTGCGCCGGACAGCCCCCACAATATAGGATTATGACCTGACAATAGTGCCGAGGTTTGAAACCTTGTTCCATGTATATATATATAAAAACAAATACAAATGTTCTCGCACACACCCTTTTCATATACAAATAATAGATAACCCTACGCTGTGCTGAACCGGTTTGCCTTTCCATTTTAAAGCAAGGTAGCAGGTGTGTCTGAACGAGCTTTGTGAGGCAGTTTTGAATACTGTGATTCCTAAAGCTGTTCCTCTGAATATTGGGCAACAGGGTGGGGTGGTGGGGCCATCCCAGATGGCCCAGTGCCTTCTGATTTTGCATCCTGGCACAATTCAGTCTATCTCTGGCTCGTGTGGCTTTTCTTCCCCACAGTTTCCACACCTACCCATACTGCCATGAAATTCTGGTGTGCCGAAGTCCACCGCAGGGGCCAGCGCTCATTCCAGTGGTGGATCTCTGTGTAGCTGATCCTTTGCCAAGTCCTTGATTGGAACAAGACTCACCAGCCCCTTCTTCCCGTTTAACTAAAGTATTGGGCCGGTGCCTTCTAATCTTTTCATAATCGATTTTGACACTGAAATGCCTGTGGAGAGGAAAGAGTGTGCTGGTTTGGCTGCTCCTTTCCCACTGTGCTTTACTTCAGCGGGATTTGGCCTCACCCAGCCATGAGGGACAGTCTTGCTTTTAATGCATTTCCTTCCGCTGAAGAGCAGCCAGCCAAATAGGCAACAGTCTGAATGAAGCGGGGGAGGGGCAACCCTAAAGGAGAAACGTGTAACTCATTTCTCATGAATGTCACCCATTCTTTGGATTTTGTATCACAGAGATTGCTGCTTAATACGGGGCTTGTGTAGCCCAGTGTCACTGCAGATCAAGAAAGGAAGATGTTGAAAGACTGCACACTTTAATGCAAATCCCATTTCTTCTCTCTCACCAGGTCTTCCTAATTATACATCATGCACCCCTGGTGAACTCGTTAGCTGAAGTCATTCTGAATGGTGATCTGTCTGAGATGTACGCTAAGACTGAACAGGATGTTCAGAGAAGTTGTGTAAGTCATTAGCGTTACGACTGTTTCTAGACCTTGATAAGAAGCCATGGCTCATTTTGTTAACTTGTGTGTTTCTCTAAAACCGGAAACCAACTTTCTGCTTACAGCAACAGTGACGTCTAAACTACTCTGGGATTCAGGGAACCTAATCAGAGTCTTGAGATGAGTACCCAGGAAAATATGGGGGTCTATACCAGGAATAGATTCAGTGATTGTATGTTATTATTATTAATTTTACTTTATTTTTTCAAGAAAAATGATTTTAAATATAATGTTACATGCAATAAACATTAATATTTCAAGAAAAACAATTTTAAATATAATGTTACATGCGTGATTGTATGTTATTGAACATGGAATTATACTGCTTTGGGCCTCAGGTTGTATATCTATGGGACACTGTTATGGGGACAAAATGAGAGAATACCTTGCCTAAGACACAAATAGCTATAGAGGCTGGTCATGGGACATCTGTGAAGAGATAGGCCCTATCTGAGGGCAGTAGGGAGCGTTGGGGACTATGGCTAATTGGAGAGGGTATGCATCCTTTGTGAGCAGCTGCTATTCCACCCCAGACTGCAGTCATTCTGCGGGAATATGGATGCAATATTGCTAGGTTTTCTCATGTTTCCAGAGAAGCTGGCAATCTGCATTTTGATACAAAATCTCCCAGGATTTAAATTATCACTCAACTTTGGCCTAAACAGGACATATGTGGTTTGTGCATGTTTGAGCATTTTGTGCTCTGTCAAAGGAAAACACCGGATGACCAGTATAATGACTTCTGAGGCTTTCCCAGCTTAGCTCCTGTGTATCTTGCCTGCCTTCACTTCTCCCCTCCTGCTCATATGTACTGAGCTCCAGGCTACCTTAGTACTGGTCCAGGTTGCTTTTCCCCCAGTGTGCCCATGTTTCTGCTGTTGTACCTGTGTCCTTACCAAACCCAAAATCTGGAAGGTCCTTGCTGCTAGTTCCCTCTTAGCAAAGATCTTACCAGCTTTAAGCAGCTTATGGCAGGCATCTTGTTTGTCATTATATCTGCTGCAGTGTGGACTGAGCAGACATGTCTGAGATGAGCCTAGAGCAGCCGTGGGCAAACTACGGCCCGCGGGCCGGATACGGCCCGTTTGAAATGAATAAAACTAAAAAAAAAAAAGACCGTACCCTTTTATGTAATGATGTTTACTTTGAATTTATATTAGTTCACACAAACACTCCATCCATGCTTTTGTTCCGGCCCTCCGGTCCAGTTTAAGAACCCATTGTGGCCCTCGAGTCAAAAAGTTTGCCCACCCCTGGGCTAGAGTGTAGGCACACAGGTAAAAGGCTGGCCTTGCCCTCGGGCAGTCAGCTCTGTTGCCATATCTGAAGGAGTGGGTGGAGGGGGATCCTGTTGCATGAAAGGCCAGAGCTGTATGGTGTACCATTCATTACAAAAGTCCCCTGTCCTTCTGTTTTTTCTGGTGTAGGACTGCTAAGCCAGGCCATTTTTCTTTAAGGGAGCATTTGAGCCTCTTAAAAGGTTCCCAGAAACTTTCTGTCCTTATTGGTGGTGGCATTAGTTCAGCTGTATTGAATGGGGCCTTTTCATGGCCCCTGTGTGGCCCGTCCTCTCTTTGATTCACTCAACAAGTGTTTCTTAAGTCTTTTCTTTGGACCTGGCATCATGCTACTTCTGGGGATATACAAAATCCTAAATAGCCTCTGTCACATTGGAGCTTTACAGTACAGTAGGAGAGACAAATGTTGATCAAATATACAAATAACTGTACTATCTTGAGTCGTATAAGTGCTCTAAAGAGAAAGTATAGTGCTTGGTGAGAGAATTTAACTAGAGATGGTGGGGGTGACAGTGTGGAGCAGAAAACACTCCCCTAATGGTCCTTGTCATGAGAACACATGGTCTAGAAAAGGTGGAGCTGACTTGGTGTTTATGAAGACAGAGATATTTCTTTGCAGCTTTCCTAAGCTCACTTTTGCAGAACGAATGCAAGTAATGGCGACAGAATCAGTAGGGCTGCTGAGGACCCTGCCAGCCAGCAGGTTACCTTGGGCAAGTTGTTTCATCCCAGATAGGAAACAGGGAGAGCAAGCCCTGCTCCAAAGAGCTCTTGGTGAGGACAGGAGGAAAATACACTTAAAGTGCCATCAATTCTGCAGGTTGCAACCCAGTCCTCAGAGTTGTTTGGTTTGGTCTTCACAGTGGATAAAAGAAACATTTATGAATTAAGAAGTTTCACTGAAAATTGATTTCAGGATTGTCTTGAACAGTCAGAAAATCTGGTCCTATTGTGCATATGTTTCTGCAGGAAGCATCTCAGAAGCTGCCCCATCACATGAGGCATGTGTTTGCCTTTCAGTTTCCCTAGTCCCCACCCAGTCTGCACTAATTCATACTACATTTACATGAATAACAAGTTAGAATGTATTGGGTCCCTTTGGACTTACTTTTGTCTTGTGATTTCCAGAACCCAAGATAGCTGCTAAGGCTTCATCACAGAATGTCTTCCCATGTGACACTCACTGCTGAGGTTAGACTTGGTTTTCCAAGATAGACCTCAGAGATGGTTGGGGTGCTAGGGTTTGCGTGTGTGTGTGTGTGTGTGTGTGTGTGTGTGTGTGTGTGTGTGTTTAAATAGATTTTAGAGAGAGGATGGGAGAGAAAGAGAGAGAAGCAATCGATTGGTTGCCTCCAACACATGGTCCCTGTTGTCTGGGGGATTGAATCTACAACCTGGGCATGTGCCCTGACCGGGAATCGAACCCGCCACCTTTTGGTGTACTGGACGATGCTCCAACCTACGGAGCCTCACTGGCTAGGGCTGCAGGGTTTCTTTTTAAATTGAAATTGATTGGCATGCCCTTGTAAGAAATAATAATACCCTTTCCCTAGTTTTCCTCCATTGATAACATCTTGCAAAACTTTAAGTACCGCAAGCAGGATATTGACATTGAGACATGGGGTTTACTGTTTGAGCAAAAGCTAATTGCAGAAAGTTACTGGTGATTTCTCAGCTTGGGATACCCACTGTAGTCAAACCATCTAATCAGAGGGAGAATTGAGGAGATTTGTTCTTTTTCCCTATGGCCTCTGCTTGGGATGGAGGTTGTTCCTTCAATGTGATAGAGGCACAGTGTTCATTGTGGGGGATTCCTAAACTGAAAATGAGATTTTTCTGAGCATGGAAGGAATTGCCATCCCAAGTGAAAGTGTCAACTTTCTACTTCCGGTTTTTGCCTTTCCCTGGGTGTGAAATCAAAGTTTGTTGTATTCTGATGACATTTGGGAAAAGTGGAGGTAAATCTCATTTATGACTTGTTTGACAATAGTCCTGGTAAGATTTACCTTCCTTCCCTCTGAGCAAGAACAGTCTCCTATTGTTTCCTGCCTAACTCGGATGTGGTTTGGTCATACTTGTTTTAAGTTTCTTGGTCTTTTTTAACCTACTTTCTCCTTCCCGTAATTTGTAGATAAGTTACTGGTATTGCTTCATTTTTACCAGCAGACCTTTCACAAAACCAAACCAAAATTGAAGAGAGAGAAGCAGAGGGAAGAGCAGAGTTATTTGAAAAGTCTGTAATTTAGGGTTAAATTTAAAATACATCAGCATGGTTAGATAAATGTCTAATTGAAATTCATCTGTGCATTAAAATAATATGGTTCCTGCTAAGGGATAATTTCTTGCTATACTTCTAATGCAGAGCAGATAGTGTGTTTCTTGTCAGGGAAATAGAGTAAGAGAACACTAATTCTGAAACTGCTAACATCTCATTATTCTTGGCAATATGAACGTATAGATTAGATTATGGGATATGCCTTGTGACCTATAGGTACTTTTTTTTTTCTTCTTTAAGTAGGGACTTTTTTCATCCTGGGTTTCTGTGGGGGTCTATACGAGGAATAGATAGTTCTTGCATTCATTAATTCATTCATTCCTCATCAGAGATTCAAGGGTGCACAAAAAAAAAACCCAAAAAAAAGAACACGACCCCTGCCCTCACTGGGCTTCCTATCCCCCATGGGATGTCTTGGAGATGCCCGCATCGCTTATGCCATCATGGGGTTTGCCAGAGAAGCTCAGTGGGCACTCACTGCAGAAATGAATGACTCAATGGGTGAACTGGTGATGGGCTCACAAGGGCCCTCGTGATGCTCATAATGACTCTCAGAACAGAAATAGCCTTGGGACCTAACCCTCACATGCCACCTTCTCTTTGCTCACAGGAAGGCTTTGGGGAAGGAGTGTGAGAGTGGGTTGCTGTTGGTGCTGTTCCACATTCCACTGTAAGAGGCAGTCTAGTGGAGTGGATTCTGGAGCCAGACTCCCTGGGCTCCTCGGATGCCAGCACCTCATTGCACTAGGTCAGTGATGGCGAACCTATGACACGCGTGTCAGAGGTGACACACGAACTCATTTTTTTGGTTGATTTTTCTTTGTTAAATGGCATTTAAATATATAAGATAAACATCAAAAATATAAATCTTTGTTTTACTATGGTTGCAAATATCAAAAAATTTCTATATGTGACACGGCACCAGAGTTAAGTTAGGGTTTTTCAAAATGCTAACACGCCGAGCACAAAAGGTTCGCCATCACTGCACTAGGTGATCCCTGGGGCAAGTTAGTCCACGTCTCCCAGCTTCAGTTTCCTCACCTCTGCAGTTAGAGTAACAAACAGGGATTTTTAGAGAGGATTAAATGCAGCATAAAATGCTTATTCCAAAACCTGGCACACATCAAGACATACATATTAGATGTTATCATTATCATGATCTTAGTTTCTGAGGCTGCAGTACAACCCTGTGTCCTCTACTTGGGACCTTTCTTCTTGGTATGATTAACAGAGGCACACTCAGTGCACCCTTAGGGAGGTGCCTTATGATCAGACACAAAGGCATGGAGGGCCAAGTGTAGCAACAATGACAACATGATGACAGCACTAATAGAAAATGGCCATTTAGTGGCAGTGGTCTGAGCTCTCAGTGTACATTCAGGGCC